TATATCAATTAAGGCCTAGCATATCTTGGGCTATGACGTGCAATCATTCAAAAGATTAGCCAGTAACTGAATTAACAATGTTTGGCTCTGGTTAGATATAGATCATATGCTACTTGCCTTGGTCAAAGTTGCATTTCAAGAATCTAGTAGAGCAGGCCCATTTATTAAAAGATTGAACAAATATTTATGGATCTCGCTCTCCTTTTTAAAAATATTTTTTAGTTATTGATGAATCTTTATTTTTATTTATTTGTATTTGATGCTGAGAATCAAACCCAGCGCCTCACACAAGCTAAGCTATGTACAAGCCCAGTCCTATGGCTATCTTTTAAGTAACAAATTTATTTTTCATTTCTTTATTCTTCTGTAATGCTTTTTTCTTAAAAAATGAACTTGCAAAAAGGGATTTTCTTTTCTCCTATTTACTTTAACACCAAGTTTTAATATTCACACATAACAATTCCTCAGTACATAACTGTGGTATTTTCTTTGGAAGACAAAGCATAATACCAAATAGTAAGCAAACTGAATTCCCAGAGTTCATTTAGAAAAGTAATCCTTCAAAAGGTGAGAAAGGAATGATCTCATGACTCTCAGTTTTTAGTACTGTCAGTCTATTGTTTCTTTCAAAGTTTCATCTGTGCACTATTCTCTGCAACCAATCATTTAGTGAAGCTTAGCATTTAGTGAAGATCCTTTAACTGATGAGAATGACATCTGAGGCATTAAAATTTCCAGCACAAAAACACAATAAGAAGAAACACCATCTTTTTTCTTACCCCTATACATTCTTGTGTAAAGTACAGAGCCTAGTATGCAGTAGGCACTCCAATTTTGTTGAATGAATAAACAGCCTGATAATTTTATTTCGATGTGAATGTTTTGTTAGGTTTTTTTCTTTCTTTCTTTCTTACTTTCTTTCTTTTTTTTTTTTTTAAAGAACTGCACATGAACTATGAAAAAAAAAAAAAAGGTTGTGGCTCAGTGATAAGAGCGCTTGCCTAGCATTATAAGGCACTGGGTTCAATCCTTAGCACCACATAAAAATAAATAAATAAAACAAAGGAATTGTGTCCATCTACAACTAAAAAAAAAATTAAAAAAAGAAAAGATAGTATTCATTTATCTATGAAGAAGATATTACTTAGGTTTGACGAAACCTAAGATGAAATAAATTTTGCAAACAATTTAATAAATAAGAAAGCTTTCTATACTAAGAAAATAGGAGTTAAATTATTAAGTTTGTTCTTGGCCAATATATGCTACAAAAGTACACATATCATTTGCTTTTCAAATGCTTAAGAAAGTATTCAAGCAAAGGGCACCTTATCTCCATTTGTACAGATTTTTAAAAAAAGAGATGCAGTCGTTATTCTATTGGTTTAAAGATGTAACGAGCCAAATGGACCTTATAATATAAATTAACTTGCTTACTTTAAGAGCTGCACATTTTCTCTTTGTCAATTAAATTTCTAAAAACTGCTTCAATACAAGTCCCTTAATATCTGCTATTGACCTTATCTGCCATTACCAGTTACTCTCAAAGTTGACTTTCTTATAGTCAGCTTGGAACAGTGATTTACCTCAGAACACAGAGCTAGAGTTGAACAAGTAAAGCACATGCCTGTAATCCCAATGGCTCTGGAGGCAGAGGAGGGAGAATCCCAAGTTCAAAGCCAGCCTCAGCAACTTAGTGAGCCCTAAGCAACTTAGCAAGATCCTATTCCAAAATCAAAAATTGAAAAGGGCTTGGGATGTGGCTCACTAGTTAAGTGCTCCTGAGTTCAATCCCCAGTACCAAAAAAAAAAAAAAAAAAATCCACAATATTCTCAATTCCCTATTTAAAGCATTTTCTAAAAGATGCTGCCTCTTTAAAATCTGGCCTTATGATTACTTTGATTAAAAATGCAAAGTAAAATCAACTATGCAATAAGGAAGCAAGGGTTAAGTCAAATCAAAGAATACCAAGCCTGCCAAAAACCTTGCCAGAAACAATGATATCAAAGGGATTTTCGCTTTCACAAGGCACCACTTACAGAACATGCAGGTTGTAACATGTGGTCTTCCAATGAAGCAATTCTAACTCAGAGTCTAGTCAAACAGGCAGGTTAATAGACGAGGGAGTCAGAAAGCCTGGACATATGTTCTAAGTCTGCCTGGTCCTGAGAACATGATAAATTTGAGTCCCTTTTGTTAGTACAATGATACCACCTACTTAAAACATAGGGTTGGTTGTTAAGAAAATGAAACAGACTTTTTATTTGCTCCTCTTAAAAATACATATTTCTTGAGCAAGTACCATGTCAAGCATTCTTGACAAATTCCCAGGAAAGATGCATTGTAGCTACAAAGATTTATAAACTCTGGAAATAAAAAGATGAAAAGATAATATCCCTACCACTCAAGGAGCATACTCCAATATAACGTATATAAAATAAAATTATAAAATATGATTTACCACAAAATCATTGAGCAGTGTTGATTTTAATTTTTAAAACAGCTTGTAATTAAATAAAACTATTTAAGACTGAACAAGTCTCACTTCAAGTTTTAGGTTATATAATAATAATAGGTTTAGGTCATATAATAATAATTTGATAATGAAGGTGTATGTATATATGTGTGTGCGTGCATATATATATGTATGTGTGTGTGTGCGTGTGTGCATATGTGAATGTGTGTGTTTTATAT